ATATACAGAGAAAGTGCGGACGAGCATTCATCGCCGAGAAAAATCAATTTCACACATCTTTATAAATAAAATTATTTTCATTATGGAAATAATTTGATTTTAATCGATGTTATGCAACATTAAATTTTATGAATTCATATTGCCGCTTCGGTTATTTCAAAATGTAATTTAATTTTGACTGTATATAAAATATATATATCGTCATGATTTATTAATCGTATCTCTGATGCATAAATTTGTCTGTGAGCAAAAAAGAAAAAGAAATATTTTAATTGAGTTAATTTTTTAAATAATCTTAATACGAATTTATATAAATATATGTTTCGTAAAATAATCAATTTCTGTACTTGCGTTTTTGACGTAAAGCTGTAAAATTCGTGCCCACCCTATCACTTTTTTCTCTAATTCGGTAATTCAATAATAAATTTAAAAGATAAAAAATGAAATTAGTAATGAAGTATCCCCGCTTTTCGGATTAATTCATCAACTTCCTACGAAAAACAAAAAATGTGCTATCAACGTGTCGAGCCTAACGCCCGATAAATATATCTATAATAAATAAATACATGTATATATCTATATGTGTATATTTACGCCGCAATTGAGTGTCCCTCGGTCCACTTTAGTTACCGTTTTATTCGTTAGCGATGCCATTCTTTTCAGTGCTTCGCGTTTGTACGATAGAGATATTCGCCAATCGAAATCCTCACGATCATTACAGAGGGACTTAGGACTTTGTCCTTAGGCCTGATCGTGTCGAAAAGAAGTTCGCCGTTCTGCTCCTTGATCCTTTCACTTAAAAAAAGCTTTATCTGTTAGTCTTTACTGTCTTTCTTCGATGACTGCAGATTTTGTTTTTCATCAATCTCGTCCTGCTTCTAGCTCTGAATTATTTGGTTTTTGGATCATGTATTTACGTTTTATTATGTGACGTTCGTAACAAAGTCCTTTGGTATTTAAAATGTTTAGTTTTTATACATATCACAAAGGACCTTCTCCATCGGCGTATTGCCGATAGTTCTATGAAAATAGATCAATTCCACTCTTGCAGCTGGAACTGTTCGCAGCAACGGCAGCAACAACAACAATCTGCCGAAGCGGGCTGGACTATTTGGTTGTTGAGCACGTGCGTGATGTCCGAGCATTAGCTGCGCCTGATCCTGCAAATTCTCAATCTGGCTCGAATCCTTTAAACCGCGAGTTTCTGTAAATTTGGAAAAATCTGGTTTCTGAAAGTGCGCGTCGCAGGTGTACGAAATTAAATAATTATTTCGGCGTGCTATTTAAATAATTAAATATGTAGTATATAAATTTATCAAGAATTAACCAAGATCCAGCTTAACACCGTTAAAGGTTTTATTCCTTATTTGTTGTGTAATCATATTTATGGTTTTAAGAAATTCTTTGAAATTAAACTAGCTTATATAAATGTATATATTCGTAACTGCACTCTTATCGAAATCAAGCAGATTAATTTTCGTATAAAAAACGACGCGAAGATGAAGAATACAGTTTACATTCGATACCGAGAAAAATAAATTAAAAAGTGGAACTTTAAAGATAAATCGCAAAATCAGCGTTGTGCAAAACGAGACAAATCAAAGATAAGAATTACTAACCTGGGCGAAAGAGAACGATGGCCTTCATACAAGCGAATTCCGCAGGATCGACCATGACCGCCTTGTATCTCTGCAGGGTGTCGTGTAAGTGTCTAACATCCGCCGCCACTTGACTGGGCTTCCCTGTAGTGGTTTGCAGATGCAACCCCGAATGCGGATGCGGATGAGGTGAGAGAGTCAGAGCAGTAAGCTCAGCGGCGCTAAAGAGAGGCGAAGATTCAAGCGGCAGACACCATTGAACCGCATTTAGTAGGAACAGCTCCGACCAAACTTCTTCCAGTAATATTACCTGCGCAATAAATACAGACTTGCGGTTTATTTAATTGTGACATTACGTCTGTTTAGAGCACTATCATAAATATATGTGTTTCCCTCCAATAAGCCTGATAATTGTTATAAAATTTAAGATACTAATTAAACCTTTACCGGCATCCTATTCTTTATCTATCGCATTGACATAAGGATACGTAGATATGTATTTGCTGACCTAACTAATTTTTTATTTCTACTGTCACGATTATTGTACATCGTAATAAATTATCAAATAAAATTGTGTTAAAATGTATAAAGACATGTTAAATTAATAATAAATACATGCATATTGGAATACAAATAAATTGCTATCGACAAATTTAGTTGAAAAATTGTTACCTGATCTCTGAATGGCAGACCAGCGAAGGAGGGAAGATTTTTCGCCCATTTGACTGCCATAAAGAGCAACCTCGCGCTGGTCTCGTAAACCGTTTCAGCACTCGCTGGTGAATATAAGGACGGCAGCACCGGTGGAAGCTGGGTGCATCCGCTTCGTTGAGGCGTCAACGGCTCCTCGTTTGTTACATCTATACTGTCCTCGGAAGCGTTTCCTGTTTAGACGCAAAGCTTCTTCTTCATTCAAATATAAAATATCCATAACTGAAATAACTTGAAATAATAAAAATAACTTGAAATTCACATTAAATACAAAGATTTAAAACAAATAAATATTTTGTTTATATACTGGACGACTAATTTTTGCATCGTAATGTAAGTTTACATAAATAATCTTTTGAATACATAAAACACTTATATTAAAAAATTAAGATTTTTTTTCCATTTACTTTGTAATACATTTCCATATGTTTCTATTAAAGCACAGATTTAAAAAATACTATCTATTGAAATAACTTACGATATAAATGCTAAACTCTCTCTCTCTCTCTCTCTCTCTCTCTCTCTCTCTCTCTCTCTCTCTCTCTCCTCCCTCTGTCTCTCTCTCTCTCCTTCCCGCCCCCCTTATCCCCCCCTCTCTCTCTCGTTATATTACTTTTAAATATGATTTAGTATAATTTGTAATTCTTTAATCATTTTTATATTTTGAAATATCTATTAAACATTCTTAAGATAAATACGATGAATAAAACAGAGACAAAAAGAATGTTTATTATAGATATTTCTTACTAATTTTGCTCAACTCTTGCTAGTGTAATTTTTTTATTATTATCTTCAAAAATGTTAATAACTTTTTATAAACGTAACAATTGCATTTAAATGCAAAACTTGCATACCGTCCTCGTTTTCTTGTCGAGGTGGTGTTGTTGCGTTGTTTGCGGAATTTGTCGTCGGTGCGACTGTAGGCAGAGGTAGTGGCGTAGTATATCTCGCCATGGCCAAGGATACGGGCGGTCTGAGAAATAATATTATAATTCATGATATAAAAAATAACAGTATCTGAATAATAAAAAATAAAAACAACATTAAGAATCTTTATTTTAGATCGCATATGTGAGAAACACAATCAATACTACAAATTTAACGAAGAGAATTATGTTTCATCTTATTCGTCTGCTTCAAAAGATTACTAGAATTATATCATTACAATTTTCCAAATGCAAATTCGATTAAAAGTATGTATTGTATATATGTACGCAACGATCTCAAGCGACGATATCTTCAGCCTGTTCGTGCGCGTGTTTCGTTTATAGATTCGTTCTATGCAGGGATATTTTTCATCGGTTTTAGATAGGTTGGCCAGCAAATAATTATCATAATCCTCAAGAAAACCATCAAGAAGAAGAGGCCATCGATGCTTTCATAATAATATACTGTTTAACGAATCCGAATCTCGCAATTATTTCCATTGCAAATCTAATAGTGCAGATGACGTTTCGCGGTGAGATCCCGGTTGATCCTCAAGCAAAGCTGCAACGGCAAAAGTAAATTTCTTGTTTCTCGACAGTACTGAGTTTTAAATATATTTTGACATTTAGCCAAGTATGTCTAGAAATAAAATTTGTTGCTATATCGATTTACAGCAACGGACGGGGTAGTTCATAATTCTGGAGGCGAGATTATCGGCACCATTACGACGTTCGAGGGTGAAATTCCGTCGCGACACCGACGGAAGATCGATGCGGTCGGACCGGGTTCGCCACGAAGAATGGCGATTCCAGCCGGCAGAAACTTTGCCAGTTGCTATATGGAACTGTGTAAACAGCAACGATTGCGACCGTTGCCGGTGATATGTGTGACTTTACCACATAATCTGGACTTTACTACCGATCGTATCAAAATGGACGACTGGAGACCGATTTTGAACTCGCTTTCCCTCGATCGCTCGCTCAAATCGATCAGCGTGCATAGCAGGTTGCAAATCAAATTGACTTTGATACTTTTTATATCATCTTTTATTTTTAACGTTCCTTAATTGACCCTTATATATACTGATTTTCAAATTTGATGATGTTATTTTAGATAACCAAAAATTTGTGTATACATTTAAGACTTATGTTTCTTTTCATGTATGCTAAATTTGTGTGGTTTAAATTTTTTAAAATTATTTCTTTTTTTCTTAATTTTTTAATCTTTTATTAAAAAATATATCCTGAGTTTACAAAAAAAATATTTTAAAGATATTAACAAAATATCTATCGTTCTAAAATTCGTCATAATTCCGATATAAGGAATTATATATATACTTAGGCTATAAAGTTTTTGTCAGGTATCAATGCCGCAAACCGTTAGAAGAGATTAATTCCGAGGACAAAGCGCGAGCAATGGGTAAAGCTCCAGTGGTTCTCACACGTTATTTGTTGGAATGGCTGTCACAAAGTATCGGCCAATGTGTGAGGAATTCACCCAATCTCACGCATTTAGAACTCGAAGGTATCCCATTTCCACCGGATTGCATTGCGGTGCTCTGCGTTGGCCTATCGGGAACACAGACTTTACATCATTTATCTCTTCGACGTTGTTACATTGGCGATAACGGCTGCGAATTGATCTGCCGAACGATAGCGGATATTCGCAGCGTGAAGTCATTGAATCTTAGTTACTGTGACCTCACACCGAGCAGCGGCAGCGCATTAGCATCCGCACTCTCAAGACAGAAATTGGCATTGTATCACGATACCTGGAAACAATCGCTGAGGTATCGCGAGCCTAACTTCGAAACGATGCCTGGGCTACGTCGGCTGACTTTGAACGATAATCCACATCTGGGGAATTGCGCCGTTATGGAAATGATTGAGGCAATACGCGATAGTTTATGGATGAAAGCGCTGGATCTTCAGCATTGTGGTTTAACGGATCAAATCGGTGCGGATTTAATGAACTTACTTGACCAGAATAACACGCTGACAGTACTCGATGTAAGGAAGAACGTGAACCTAAACGACGAGCTCGCGACGGAAGTGATGAGAAGATTAGTGAAGAATGATGTTGAGGGAAAATCAGAATATAAGTGGATGGGATTAACGCCAAAAGATAAGAAAATTGCATCGACTGATACTCGACGAGGTAGGGAGAATGAGGACACCGCGAAACTTTTGAGAGCGCGAAGTGTCTTTACTAAATACACAAAGCGACCTTGTCAGATAATTCCACCAAGAAGAACAGTTCCAATATCGCTTCTATCGACAAAAATGAAGATTCGACCTTTACAGCCAGACTACCGCAATATAACTCAGCAACGCGATTCAATTCATTCGCAGATGATCAACAATGTACAAACGATGCCCAAGGTTTCTCTTCATTTAGATCTTCAGTCTCGTATCCAGCCCGTGGTGAATCACGTCGATTGCGACGTTGAAAAGCAATCGAAACATAAAGATACCGTACAATGTATCGACGAGACAAGTTTAAAGAGTTTTGATTCTACTAAGATAGATGTTGGTATGCAAAGTGTGGACCAGCAGAGTGATTCAGAAGAAATCCAATGTATTCTCAGGCAATTGGCGGAAGCCCAAGCAGAACACGATCGTCTTCTGAAGGAGACCAAACAAACCGATCTTTTGCTTGCTGAAGAACGAGCACGCCGCGAAGCCGCTGAAATGAATCTGCAATCGGCACAAGACAACTTGGTCAAGCTGGAATGTGCTCTGCAGAAGAAAGAAAACGAAACTAGAGGTTACCTGCTAGTCAGCGAACAATCCTTGAATGAGATATGCTTATCTTTTGATCGGCTTCTAGAGATATTAGAAAACGTTACTGATAAATATCCGTACGACGGGACATTGGAATCGCAACAAATCGTAAGCGCAGACATTAAGCGATGCATAACATCCGTCATTAGGCAGACCAAATCAGAGAACCTCAAGCGGGGCTACAAGGTGGGCATCGAATTGCCGCAATACATCGTGGACGGCGCGCAAAAGTTTGTCAAATCTGAGAGCGACGTAAGATCGATGATGCCGATCCCGGCAACATATCTTGAGAAGAAGATTGGCGAGTGTCTGGAGAATAATGAACTGCACCATCGGTATCGCGACGTCAATAAGCCGATGTCGTCCGTTGATCGAGCCCGAGTGATCTTCGCAAGTATCATTAGCGGCGAGGCCATTGACTTATGCTAGCTGTGATTGAGCAGCTGAATTCGTCGATCGTTCAAAGACAATCGTATAGTAGTTTCTATTTGGAAGTTCTACACATGAGGCGTATAATATATACATATTTTGTACACGTATATTATACATGAATACACTGTCTGCAGAGAATACACACACACACACACACGCAGAGATGTGTTTTTAACCCTTCTGTTACTTAAGGGATACTCCATTTTCGTGCAATTTCTTTGCTATTAGTTTCAATACGAATATCATAAACTTCTAAGTGAAGTGTCGTAAAGTGCACGTAAGAGGCTCTTCTTTAGGTATTTATTAATAGACGTCTTTTCTTTGGAGTGCTATTTGAGAAGTAAATAATTTTTGTTTCCATTTCGACGTATACATATTTCCGAGCTCGCAAAATTGGTAACTATGAAAAAATTAAGACTACAATTTACTTTTATAAACTAAAAGATCTGTAATTATTTAATCATCTATACGTGATTACGCGATGATGATTTAAAAATCATAAGAAAAAGCATTTATGAGATACATTCATCTCTTTGTTATATCGTATTCAATCTTCAGATGTTCTTCACAGCAAAATGAAAGTAACAAACAATGCAACGTGTAAACAAATTAATTGTTTATTCAAATAGTTAAAATGATCAAGATAATTAAGAATATCAGTTAATATTTCTAGATAAACTTTGATGAAATGCGTAATCTACGGTCCGAAAGTGACGCTATTAATTGGGAAGATTGATTACTCGCGTGACGAAAAGCGTGTAATGTTCAAATCCATTTATAGCCACATTTTTTTTAGCTCTTTATTGTACATGGAATAAATATTGCTTATTATTTCCGTAAAACTTTGTTTAAATATTTCTTGCGGTGAGAGAGTAAAATAATAAACTCTTCCTGGTTATAATTCATTTAATATCTTCTTGTCATTCTCGGTCTTTTCAACGAAGCAGATTATAGTCAGCTCATAGCTGTAACAATAACCTCGAGTCGACATTAATTTATGTGTAATTATAGATTCTGGAGTTATTGACGATTATTCGCTTGTCTGCTCCAATGCAAGTTTCAAAGCTTCATGTTTACGCGATCGAATGGTTGATTTTAATAGAAACGATCTCTCTCTTCTCTCTCATGATTCGTATCAAATTGTTCTGTAGAACCAAATGGCCGGAGTGTGAATCGTTTTATAACAATACACAGATTATATATCCAATTATGTAAATACATTTCAAACCCTAGTATTAACACAAATACGCATCCGATTGTCAAGTCCCAACTCATTTAATTCTTTTGTTTCACATATTTTTTAAAACGTTCCAGTCAACATCAAAAGTAAAATAACACTAAGTAACACTAAAGACACACTAAAGTAAAATAACATCAGTGTTATGTTATTTTTAGTTGGCGTCGACTGAAATATTTTGTTGATTTTTAAGAAGATGAAAGATGCTTTTGAAATTATTATGCAAAGTCAAATTTGAAGAATTAAAATGACAGATTCAATATAACAGCTAAATTAAAAAAAAAATTAAACTATGTTGCTTATGTCCTCATACATAATTAAAATTTTATACTCAACAATTTCTCAGGCTTTTAATTCTAAATCGCAGATCAAGCTTGAAAATTCATAACAGATCTTGAAGAATTATTTGTTATTTTTTAAAATCTTACTAGTATAATCTAAAACCAACAATGATGATATAGTGAGAAATTTTAAATATATTGCAAATATAATGTTTCGACTAAATATAATTTTCCAAAATTTTCGATTATTTTAACTACCAATTGGATCTGACATTTTTGGTTTAAAATTTTGAGTGCAGATTTCATAAAAATTATAATGTAAAATTTTCAGAACATATTTATTATCTTTTTTTCCACCATAAAAAAAGTGTTCATTTTAATTCATGTTTTGTTTATAGTTTATTATTGATAAAAAAATAATTATATATTTATGTCATTCATATATATATATATATATATATATATATATACAACATGAAAAAAGTATCAAGTACGTTACATAAACCAATTATAAAATATACGAAAACACGGAAAAATTGAAAGATGGGTGCCCCAGCGAGGGGCTATACGTAGCAAAGATGTAATTTCTTAAGTTCGTCAAACTTTTTTAAATTAATCGCACGTCAATCACGCAACTACGGAAAAAAATAATCTTTTACGTATTTTTTGTATTAAAATATGAAATCTTCTCTTGCAAATTTGAAGAAATTAATTGATTTGATACATATACGTAACTTATTAATAAAAAATTTTTGGATATATCACTTTTAACTCTCAATCCTTTGAATTTTTAAATATTTTGAAAATAAGCTTATATCGTGGAAAGATTGGTCGCTTGTGTAACGCGCACGGTATAATAACTCGCCGAGAATGACGCGCTGCGCCGCATCAGGACGCCAATCGTCGCTTTTAACATTCACCCCTTGGCGCTCTATGGATTTTCCATTAGTTCCAACCTGGACAACCGGTTACTTGAAAAACGCTATGCCTCGGGCTGCTAGTCAAAGGTAATTTTTCATGATAGATCACGCTCGGCGTGTCGCTCATAACGGCGAAAGGTAAGCTTGGTGCGCAGCAGAAGATCAAACGTGCCAACAACGTCGTCGGCCCTCGTTGCTCTTGTCGTTGCATCCGTCGACAAGTGATTATCGATCGTTGTCTCCATCACCTACCGTTCTCTAATCGACCGTGTCTAAATTGAAATTTTGTACAGCTTTTAAGACGCGATTCACAAGTATTTCAACATTCAATACTTTTACCTTTTCGAAATAATTGCGTCCCGATAGTTTCAGATACGTTCTTAACATCGCTACCGATTTGTGTGATAGTCTCAGTTACTGTTAATAACTCGGCGATACTTTTTAATGACATTTTGTTCAATCTCGTTTATCGGCCTCTGTTTCTTTTCGCTTTGTTTTAGATCATTGATTTCTAATGTTTAATGATTTATTTTAAAAAATGTAACGACAATAAGATTAGATTAAAAGCTAAATTAGAGTAACTAAGAATTAACAAAAAGAAAAAACAAATAATTACTTACCCAAAGACACCTACGGCGACGGCAGCTTCACGTAAGGCTCGTTCTTGATCCATCTCTACGAGAGCTTCTGGTCTGATGGTGGCAGTATTCCTTGGTTGACGTTCATTCTGAACAGCTACAATTTGTTATTTTCTCATGTTTATAAAATAATATATGTATATTACATATACATAAACGCAAATATAAAAATATATACATATATATATATATATATACATAATACATATACAATATATATGCATACGGGGGATGTTTTTATTTTAATTACCTATTTAAAACTTTTGCAAAAATATTTAAAATATTTAAATGACATATTGGCTGCGTTTGTGGAGCGCGCTATTAGCCCTGCTGTATTATTATACTTTTAGATCTGTTTTTTATTTTTGCATTATATGAACTGATGCACACGGTGCACCAGTTCATATAAGTTAAAGTGAAACAAACAGTAAGATCACTATGGGTTATTGTGACAGAAAAATACAATGTTAAACTTAAATCTTTTATAACTTTGTAACTATTTAATTCAGAAAGAAGAATTGAAGATTTTTTTCTAAGTGTTATATAAATTTTATATTTTAAATATTGTATATGCAAATTAATACATTCAATTTTAATGATATATAAAAAATTGTTTTTTTGTCACAACTATCTTATAATTATATGGGGGTCATTTGTGATAATATGAGGAAATTGTAATATTGAACATAAAGCTGTATTACGAATAATCGTAATCAGTGTTCTATTAAAAAATGTTCAAAAATATCAATTTTCTTTAAAATAATATTTATTTGTCGAATGCTATTATATAAGAAAAGAACTATCGTTATGTTCTGCAATATTTAGCACAATTGTAAAAGCGATAACTATACATGTACATATATTAACCATTATATAATAATAGGGAGGAGGTAGTAAATAAAACCAGTGTGGTATTTGCAAAACTGGTATTTCGTTAAAAATCGAATCGTTTTTCCGATTGATTGCTAACGAGACATATCGTAACATAGCGCGGTGAAATTTTTATGATAGATATTCATCGCGTCGTACAATCACTTTTTCAATTTTTTTCTTTTTTGTTCATTTTCGGAAAAACTGGCAGCCTCGAACGAAAACATATTGTAAACGGCGATATGCTCGACGAACAATAAGAGCATTGTGCCGCTCTTCAAATTCGTGAATGATTGAAACATTATTGAAATATTAGTTGAACGGATTCACAGGAATGGGGAACGGATTCACACGACGGGGGTTTGCGGTTGTCTGCCGCCCTCTCGTCAAACTCACGTAACGCCATGTTATATCACGCTGGTGGTCTGCATCTGACACGCGTGAATTCAACAAGGCACGCAGCAAACTAGCAACGCTTATTGTTTGTAATATGTAACGCAGTACGACCACCTAAAAGTTTCATTTACCAATCATCCATGAGGAAACGAAAATATTCTGATAATGATGACGATGATAATGATTACTGTACATTTCTACTGCAAATAAGTATAATTGATAAATAATAAATATATAAGTTTTTCGAAATTGAGATATCATTATCAGTATATTTTCCAAAGGCAATGGTCCGAAAGAAAGAGAGAGAGAGGGGGGAGAGAGAGAGAGAGAGAGAGAGAGAGACTCAGTGATAACGAATTCCGTAGATACGTGATATAATTTTCGCAATTCCTTCGTATTTTTTATATAACATATAAAAACATCCAGTAATTGTTTTGTATTTTGATTAAAGAAAATCTGAACCATCTATACCACCCTATATGAAAAAAAGTATCACTTGGGATGGGATATACAGATTTCTTTTTTCTAAAACATTCCGTAAATAACTTGCAGAAATAAACGATTGGGATCGCCAGGGTTAATGTGAAAGCGCCGTCGTTTTTATTCACGTGAGCCAATCAAGCGCATTTGCAAGCTCATTCTCGTGAGGTTCACCGCGGCGAAGTGTTCGTTCTCTCGTTGCCGCCGTAAACATTGCGGTCGTTAGCGACAGTCGCGTGGCCTTCGACGAATCCTGAAGGGTTAATTGGAGGAAATAAACGTATGCAACGTGCAGCCGACCATCTATTGCGCACGCGGAGACTCGTTCGCACCCTTCGGCGCTTCCCAGTCGCGACTTCGCCGATGGAGATAACCAGAAAGGACTAAGGACAATGTCGGGCAAAGGGTGCTCTCCTGCGGTGCGGCGACAATGCAAATGAGAGAAATAATCTGCTCGAGGGTGTTCGCGCGTTCTGGTTCGAGAATCCGCACAAAAAAATGTTACGAGGGATAACAATAAAACTATATTTGTGGATATGAGCAATAGTATTACGTTTTTAATGACTGTCACTTACAATTAGTTTTAGTGAATAATCAACTTTCATAATCCATATGCGATCTAATTGTTAATATCGAATTACAGAAAAATAATACTTTTTAAAAATCTTTTTACATTTTATATATACGAGATTTATATTAAATACTGTTAGCGCATTATTTTCTTATTAATTTATCTATTATAATATTTACACAATAATTAATGAGAACAAATTTAAAAAATCGATAGTATTTTTTAAAAATAATCTTAGAAGGTAGAATTGTGAAGAGAATTTATTATCTGCGTTAAAAAGGAGAATAATAAAAATAATGATGAATAATTCTGTACATAGTATAGTGACCGAAGGGATTGTCAATTAAAAAAGCGAAGAAGTTGAGGAAAGGGATGGTCAGAAAGCAGGACGGCCTCTCGCAGCGAAGTGAATGCAAATTAAACGGAAATAGAGCGTACGGGGCGTTTATCTTTTCTGGTGTGAAACATCGTCGCGAGGACAGTAAGAGCGGCAAGGATAATGAGAGAGAGAGAAGGGGAGGAAGGGGGGGGAGAGAGAGAGAGAAAGAGAGAGAGAGAGAGAAGAAGCGGAGGTCCGACGAAACAAGAGGACCCCATTAAGCCGCTCAGCAGGTTGCACGTCGGAGGTAAAGCGAGCCGACACGCTTTTTATTATTACGAAATTACTGCGCGCTCGTTGCCGAGCCGCTGCTAAAAGGGAACCCGGGAAAAATTGCGCCAGGCTCGCCGACAATAAGTGCCCTAATCGCGCGACCATTAAAGTACGGCGGACGCCACGAGTCTCCTTTTTGGTGCTTGTGACACAAGAGTGTCTTTCACCCGCACTAATATGGCTTGTCGTAATTATTCCGCTCACCTTCCCCACGTAAATCTGAGGAGCCAATGCGTAAATTTGTGAGAATTGTAAGAATTTCATTGTCAAGCATTTTCACGATTTCAATTTTTAATGTACTTGGATATCTCATTGTGTTCTATTAATTGAATACATTTGTGTATCTTATTGTTTTTAATTGTCGTATGAGTCACTTTTGGATTCAAATCATTGACTGTTTTATCATTTGTTGTATTTTCTGACATTTATTGTTAGTAATGTAAATATAAGCAAAAGTTCAATTTTAATTTCTTTTGCACGCTCTCTTTTTCTCTCTTAAAAAGAGTTCTTACAAAAAAAAGAATTGATCAACCAACAGATCAGAATAACACATTATTGGTATTGTATCGCGTCGATCACCCTTGCAAAGATATTGGGATCTCATTGCAAGTTCTCGAGACATTGTCACCGTATAGGAGTTATGGATCCGTCGGATTATCCATTTTCGTGGATAATACCGGAATCAATCAGCGGCAGGAAAGTGGAATTCGGCGGACCCTTTATGTTCGCGACATAAATAACTGGATAAAGGCAGGGTGAGAGCTTGTACAAGCGGAAGTCTGGCTGCGCCGAACATCCTCCGATTCAATTCCTAATGCCTCCCGGCGAGACACGGGTGCGCACCTGTCTCATCGTCTTTCTCTTATTCTTCCCTTCCTGCATTCTCGTTTCGGCCTTCAGCATCGTCCCGTTGATAACTTTCTTATTGCCAAACTCGATGTCGCAAAGGGAGATCTTTTCGATTGAATTTGATCGCGTCGCAGCAACACGTCGATTTTTATCCCGGAAATCGCATACGTCTATTTGAAATTTATCGTACGGCAAGAAACTTTATTCTTAATAACATTCGCGCGCGAATGTATATATACAATGCTATATTTATAGTTTTATTCGATTCTCTATACCTATACTTCTTTCTTTCTCTCATTATTATAATTGTTTTTGAATAATACTTTAAATTTTGAATTTCTTGCTCAAATTAGTTGAAAATACATATGTTTTCACTCACCATCCTTATTCATTCCCATTTGCATGCATTTCTTCAGACGACAAGCTTGACATTGATTTCGATGCGCTTTGTCCACAACGCATCTTCCGGTACCAGCTTGACATCTGCATAAAAAAAGTATATAACATTTGTTTAATTTATTGTGATGTATTATATGTGCTAAGATTCCTGCTACAGGAATTTTTAACATTTAAATTTGGGAAAAATGACACATATATAATCATATTTAAATATATATATAAAACACTATATATATTTCATATATATATAAATATATATGAAATATGTCCATATATAATTAGACATAATTTATACAATTATATATAATTACATGTACAATATTTCGTTTTAATTAAAATAGCCAATTTCTGGAAATCACGAGGTTTAAGAGAAAAAATGTTTCAGATACACACACGTACAACAAAAGTGGAACGGTTTCAAAGAGGACGTATTCTGGTTACACTGTTTTTCTTTCACGTAGAGGCCTTAAAAAGATATGAGGGCTACCTCCATTTTTTGAAACGGAATTATATAATTTTTTTACATAATATGATGAATTATATGATTTCATTACATAATATGATTCCTCTAATTATTTTGCATAATGTTAACATGTTAAACGCTAAGTCTATTTCGTTTAACCATTTACGCCGCACAATACCGTCGAGAGATGGACTACTGGAGAGAAGAGATACGTGCGGTGTGCGAAGTAAAGTAAAACAAAAGAACAAGAGGCAAAGTGATGTCGAGACGATTAACGTATCGTCAGTCAAAAGATATAGTATGGTTTTGTTCTCTAAAGCAGATCTATGAAATATTTCACAAAGTTTTTGAGATAGGCATGGCGTAAACGGAAAGTCCGATACTAGTCCGTAGAGACCGGCGTCGCGATGTTTACTGATTGTGTGTTTAATAAAAGCATTAAGGTAGAAATATTAAAAAACTAATTCAAGGTAATTTATACTTTATTCTGGTACGTGTTGACATAAAATGTTAAATATTTTGTAAACTATTGATTTTTTTATAATAATTTTTTAATAATTTTATAAATAGAATAACGAGATACATAAATCAATTGGTGTAAAAAGAATACATAGTTGCTCATTTAAAAAAGTATCCATTTTGCTTACTCATATTTTTTTTACTATATGTTTTCTTTATACCTATTGGTTCATCTCATTATTCTGTTTATAAATGTATTAAGGTACGATTATCAAAAAATTAAC